GGGGGTTTTTATTTTTGGGGGGGGGGGGGGGGGGGTTTACATCAGTATGACTAAATGAAAACAACAACATAATGGTAATTGATGGCAATATTGATAGTATTTCCTAAAGGTCGATTTGTGCAAGGCCATTCTGCAATAGTTGTCCAAATAATTTTTAATTGACAATTACCTGCCATTATTGTTATTGCTTCTCTTGAATTATATATCATCGAAAGCAACTATTCTATGCGAAGAAGTAACGAAAGGTAGTTGGAACTTCTCTTTTTTTTTATTACTGATCTCATGCGTGAGAGGAGCGTGTGAAAAATATCGTTCGGTAAAAGCAAGTAGCGAAAAAAGGTTAAAGACCAATAGAATTGAATTAAAATTGGGTATAAGATTTTGTTTTCGTTTTTTCTTCTGACCTTCGATTGGTTTTGCACTAGTTTCTTTTATTACAACTACAGTTATATTTATGTGATTGATGCAAAATGAAGTCGACCGTGAGACAAAATGCGACCACCGTTTTATCCCTATAGTCGTAGCTTTCTACCTGAGTGGTTGTTCTTTGTTTTACTAGCGAATCCTCTGCTTTATAACTTGATCATTTGTTCGATGAGTGAGCAATATATAGTACACCGTTTTGTATCATTGATCACAATCATCAAAGAAATGTATATAAATAGATTACTTTACTTCATATGTCTGGTCTTTATTTTTCTCTAGAGTAAAATATTCAATTTGTTTGTTTAGTTATATTTCTGATTTAGTAAATCTACTCATCGCAAACAAATAGTTTAACATGTCTCGTCTGTATGCTGAATCTGTAAATGATAATTCAGAAAACTATGGTACGTATGCTAATAAGTTTATTTAACCATTCATCAAGACTTATGAATACATTTAAGATAAGTTGAAAGTAATTGAGAGAATGTAAATTACTGAGGGGTGGCAGAATTCTCACAACCAGAATGTAAGAATTCTGTATTCACAGCAGAATTTTAGTAGAACTTTGCTTGACAACTAATCATAAGGAATACAGGATTCTGCTAAGAATTCTGTTAGGTGAGAATTCTGCCACTGCTAGAATAATTCTGTTTCAAACGCTTTCCCCCTACCATTGCAGAGAGTGAAAAAAAGCGTTTTATATAATCAAGTGATACAATCAACCCATCATATTTGATTTATGTTTATTCATTAGTTGCTACAAAAAGTTATCTTCTGTTTTTCCTTTCCTTCTTTCTGTTCACGTAAACGTCTGAGTGCACTGTTGAATACATTATTAGAACGACTCAATACATAGTTTGAGATTTATTTGATAACATACACTGAAATAAAGCTTATTTATATCTTCTTATAAATAGCTTACCTGAACGCCATGTTTACAAATTATTGAGTACTCAAAATCGCTTGATTGCTCATGAATAGCAATCAGTGAGGATACATCAGACATTCCCCATAATAGTAATTACTTATTTTTTTCCTTTCTCTTTCATATTAATTCCATAATGGTCAAAATAGACCGTAATAACCTTAATATAAGTTTTTTTTTTATTTGCTAAAATACTCAGTTCGATCAAAACATTAGTTTAATTAGTTAAGGTTAAATCAAGAAGAAAAGCTACCAAACGTTCGACAACAAAAAAGACACACATTGACATTTTAATTCACTAAAATATTCAATGTACAAAAGAACCTTCTATATATATTCATATATAGCTGTGGCGTAAGTAAATGATAAAAATATTTCAAATGAATGTATTGAGAAATGATCTTGAAATTTTACTGTAAAAATCGGAAAATTAAAACTCTTTTCACTTGTTATCACCTATAAAAACCATAAAGAAGAGAAATAATCGAATAATATTGAAATGGAAGAGAAGAAGAAAAAGAAAAACCAACGACATATACAAGTTCCGTTCACATTTTTAAATTTTTCATGTTTCTCATAAGATGCTAAACGGCAACAACCTAATCATCATGTGTATGTTAACTATATGTGGTTTTGTTTTCTCAAAAAGAGATTAGATACCTTCATGATTATAAAATTTAAAAAAAATTTATGATTTCTTAGACGAAATCACTCGACGTCACTCCGACACAGACACAATGGTGCAACACCATCACCATCTTGAAAAGACAAAGGTAAAGTAAGGTTTAACGAAAGATATTATTTGGATTAATACACGACAGCATACAGAACTTTGTCGATCATAGTCGATCAGCTGTCTACTGGATGGGAAAAGCCAACCTATGATTTTTTTTGTCCTGCTAATTAAATTTTAATTTCCATTAGTTTCTACTGAAGGAAATTTCTCTAATTATAAGATGTGGTTTGAGGGTCTTGTGAAACCAAGATGCTTAGATAAAAAGTGCATCTCTCTTGTATCAGATAATAGAGATTCTATTTAAAAGCTAGAGGAAATTTTTCATACTGTATTATTCACATACATTAAATTTCAAAAGATTGATCATGTATAAAAATAAATAGATTATATCATTAGAGAGGTCGCATGATATCCAAAGGTACTTTGTGACAAATTGAAATATAATCTGGTTGTTGATTTTTCTATCTATTGATTTAGTTGTATATTCTCGTTTAGACACCTGGACAAAGTATTACTTTTAATGTAGACGTGCCTCAAGTATTCTGCCAATTAGATGTTCTTTGTCGATCAGATGAAACGGACTATGCTTATTGGAAAGAAAAAGCTCGGTAGGTGAAATTCCCATCGTTGTAACCTAAAAGAAACTCATAAATGCGTGTTTTGTTGTTGTAAAGTTGGATACGTTTTGAAGAAATAGCTGAAAATGCTCTTGGCCGTTGGTCGAAGCCTCATGTTGCAACATTAATGCAAACAGCTCTTTTAAATTTAAAAAAATTACTTCAAAATGGTGTTATTCTTCTCAATGTTCCAGCGAATGATTTGTTAGCTGTTTCACGTACCATTTCATTGATTTGTTTTTCATTTAACAAAAAGTTGAATGTTTTTTTTTCTAGAAATAATATCTCAATCATTGTTGGATTCAGACTATTTCGATAATATAGGAGCTGCAGAAAGACTTCTTTATATTCTTGGTTTACCACATTTTCACCATTATGAAAAACGTTCAGTAACAAAAAATGCAAGCACAGTCAGCTTATCAAAGCAAGGTCTTCTCTCAAGCTCAACTTTTGTTATGAATAATCTTAACCGACAAGGCTAGAGATTATTTTCTTCTATTCTATTTAATTATTTTTTCTATAGATGATGAAAATGATAAATCCGAACTCGGCCCTATTGATAGACGAATAACAGTAGCAGCTACTCTCACTGCAACACCACCTGATCAAGAAGCGATAGCTACTGATACTACAGGACAGCAAGCATCAAAAGTAAAACAGTCAGAAAAAAAATAAAATATAGTTCGAGATCAAGAATAATTTTAAGATACCTCATTGCATTCGATCTGTATTTAGCATGGATCGAAACTCAATAGAAGTCTGCTGAGAAATTAAAATAAAATCCTTAGTGAAAGAGATGATGATGTAAACATTTTGAAAAAAACTTGCGACTAATTCTTGCATGACTAAAGCTCATTTATTTTATGAGCAAAAAAATAAATTAAAATTGATGTGGCCATTTTTCTCTCTATTAGGAGTACAATGTAAAGTTACAAAGAAAAATTGGCAGTAATTCTGAAGGTGCATCTATTCTCATATGTCCAGTCGATTTTATTGAAAAAGAAACCGTCGTTTTTGTTCGTTTACAAAAATCAATTGAACTACCTGGCATGCTGGAAGTAAAAATTTCTTCACGTTTTATTGTTCTTTTAATTGGACCTGAAGAAAATGAAAAACCACTGTTACAAATGGGACGAACAATGGCAACTATTCTAACTGATGACATTTGTCGAGAATTTGCATATATATCGAAAGATTCGGATGAAATTATGAAAATGATGGATCGATTTATGCAGGATACATACGTTATACCACCATCTGAATGGGATCCATCTATTCGAATAGAACCACCACATAAATATACAAGCAAAGTAAAAAGAACGAAAAAATAAGAAGATTATTTTTTGTTGTTACTATTGTATTTCTGTAGGAAGAACGACAAGCGAAAGAACGGCAAGCTAGAGCACCTCAAGAAGCAGGAGAAAAAATCGAAGAGATTGAATTAACGTACCATGCAGATCCCACGTTGGTACCTTCCAAAAGGTGAATAAAACAAAAAATAAAAAAATAGAATGTAATCCATGAAATTGTTTGTAGACCCTTCTATGGTCTCATAACGGATATTCGAAATAAATTACCATATTATATATCCGATTTTACTGATTGTGCCAGTTTACAATGTTTAGCAGCTACACTTTATTTATTTATTGTATGTCTTTGTTCAGTCGTTGCTTTCGGTGGTATACTTGGAACAGCCACAGAAAATTATATGGTAAGAAAACTATGCTATTTTCTTCTTTCTAATATTATGTCAATAAACTGAAGCCCTTGTTAAATACGGCACCAATCTTTTTATAAAATGCTTAGTCTTATATAAAAATACATGGCGTTATTATGACTCTTGAATAAGACAATAAAGTGACCTGAGCTTTTAGACTTGAGACACGAGTTAAGTGCTTGATGATTTTTAAGTGAATTCATTAGACGTCTGCAGCAGTAGCTGGTATTACATGTTTTATCGGAGAAGAAATTGGAACTTCAGGCAACAAAACACAAAAATCTGTTTCGAGAAACTGATTTAATCTCTTTAAACTTTCGAGTTAAGTTTTTCAAGTGAAGCTATTATTGATTTACATACCTTAAACCATTCACTGGGTGAATGCACACGAAATAAAAATTTTAAAATCGTTTCCTATAGACTACAATCGAGACTAGCAGAGAAAAGCACAAAATTGAAAATTGAATCTTTTGATAATGAGTTAATTAAAAACTGAATCATCAAAATCCACAGCATGGACTTTAATATTGAAAGTTCAACAACACGTTTTGAATATACAAGATTTATCTCATAGGCTACAATGGAATGTATTCTTGCTGCAGCCATCAGTGGTATTATATTTGCTTTATTCGGTGGACAACCATTAAATATTATATCTGCCACTGGTCCAATGCTAATTCTTGAACATATTATAGAACATTCATGCAGGTAAAGTTATTGATTTGAAATTAATCTTCGCACTGAAAGAACTTATTTTTCAGAGATTATCGTATAAATTACCTTGAATTTCGCTTGTGGATTGGCGTATGGATTTTTATTCTCTTGCTGATATTTGTCATATTTAATTTAAGTTTTCTTGTTCGATATATAACACGTTTTACTGAAGATTGTTTTGCATCGTTAGTTGCATTAATATTTATAGTCGATGCTATACGTGCAATCTTAAACATTCGTAAACAGTATCCAGTAAACTATCGACCTAGTATTTTATTGGACTATTCATGTTCATGCATATTTACTGATATTGGTGAAAATGAGACAACAATAAATGATGCTAGTGTCGTGGATTACCTATTTCACGGGACAAATTTAAATAAAACATCTCAAATAGCATGTACAACAGCCGGTGGTTTTGTTATTGGTTCAGGCTGCTCAACACCGGTTTATCATGCTGATATATTCTTCTTTTCTGTGCTTTTATTTATATTCACCTTTCTTATATGTATGGTTCTTAAAGAATTTCGTAATAGTTCGCTTTTACCAGCTAATGTAAGTTCAACTAAAAAACAGAAAAGAAAACAAACATTACATTTGAATTTTAGATTCGAACAATTCTCAGTGATTTTGCTGTTTTAATTGCAATTGTTATCATGTCAGTATGGGATGGCTATTTACTTTTAAATACACCGAAATTATATGTGCCAACAGAATTCAAACCAACACGCCCACATGATCGTGGATGGTTTATACCGTTTTTTGGTAAAAATAAGTTATGGACAATACCCTTAGCAATAATTCCAGCTTTAATAGCAACAATACTGATTTTCATGGATCAACAAATAACAGCTGTGATTATTAATCGAAAAGAATTCAAATTGAAAGTAAAAGTAAAACCGCTGTTTTCTAGTAGTTTTTGTCTTGTTTGCTTAGAAAAATCCTGGTTATCATCTGGATTTATTCGTTTTATCGCTGACAATTCTAATACAATCCATACTCGGTTTACCATGGTTTGTGGCAGCTACGGTTTTAGCTTTAACACATGTTAATTCATTGAAACTTATGAGTGTAAATACAGCACCGGGAGAAAAACCAAAATTTGAAGGAATTATGTACGTTGGACTTCACACGTTTTTTTGTCTATATAGAGAGAAAAACAAGAAGATTTTATTCGATTTTAGTGAGCAACGTGTTAGCGCACTTTTAATGTCTATTTTAACTGGTTTAAGTGTCCTTTTTACTCAAGTATTAAGGGTATGTATCTTTCTTTTGATGAGTCGTTATAAAATTTCTGTATTCTTTATTTATTTCTGACTTCCTAATTTATCTGAATTAAAATTCTTTTACTCAGAAAATAGAAATTGACTTGATTTATAATTCTAATATTTAAAATATTCGCTATTGCATTACATAAACATTTTTATTGGAGTGTCCTTTTCAGTTCTATTTCAATGTACCTTTTGTTTAACCTTTTTTCTAGCATATTCCAATGCCTGTACTTTATGGTGTTTTTATGTTTATGGGCGTATCTGCTTTACGTAATATGCAAGTCAGTAACCTATCATCTGCATATTTTGTTTTGTTTTACACCGACTTTTGTTTGCCGGTAGATCTACGATCGTGCTTTATTATTTTTTATGCCACAAAAATATCAACCAGATTATTCCTATTTACGACATGTACGAATATCTCGAGTTCATTTATTTACTGTAGTACAAATCGTTTCACTTGTTGGATTGTATGTATTAAAAAATATCAAATCCATCGCTATAACTTTTCCACTACTGGTAAATTCTAATAACTAGAACAACTATTCAATGAAATTCATTTACATATATATATATATATATATATATTAGATACTTGGAACATGTTTTGTACGTAAATTAATGGATAAAGTCTTCACACAAGAAGAATTGTATTGGCTTGATGATATTTTACCTGGAAGTAAAATAGGTCGAATTCGTGGTACTTCAATGACTCGAAATTTTCAAATATCAAAAGTAGTATCGGGAGATTCAAATGAGGAAAGTACAGAAGTGAGTAATTCTCTCTATGTTCGAAAATAAATCTTGCACATAAAAACATAAATTCTAATAATGTAGACACCATCCAATATCTTATTAGCATCATCAGAAACTGAACCTAATGATTGTAATCGTGACACGTTAGGATATAGTTTACCAAATATAGTAGAGGTCAGTTTCAATATAGTAGAGATGGCACACGATATGCTTTAATCGCTTTTTTAAAACTTATCATGCATGTATGGGATTAATCTTTCATTCTATCTAGGTATCGAAAAAACCAAATGTTGGTTCTTTGCCTATTGATAATACAAATGAATCAAGTGTTCCATTAATTGTAGTCAATGAAATAATATCATCAGAAGAAACATCAGCCAATGCATCTGTAAATCATATACTCAGTATTACTCTTAATTTTAAACCAAAAATAGTCGGAATTTTTATGAATGAAAAAAAACTTATTTTTTTTCAGAGCGTGAATGAAGTGTATTACTGCCGTAAAGATCATATCTTCAGTATCAAAGTTTATTTGTTGAAGAAGAGTGTGTGAGCTTTCGATATCCTACTGAAATTATCATCAGACACAATATGAGATATTGTGATCTCCTTTTGAATTGATGCTCAGTTAAAACATATGCTTTAAACTAATTTAATTTTTAAACTTATCAACAACAATATTTGATGAAATATGTTCTATATTTTAGGAAGAAGTTGAACACTTTATGCACCGGGAATCACCATTTGAAAAACATCATGATGGCAAAATTAAAGCTATTCAAACGCCTGTGTAACTTCTTATGAGATATTTATCTTGTAGTTTATCTGCTGTCCGCTTTCAAGAATATTTTTTTCTAAAAATGTAATTGCCGTAGAAAAATAAATTGATTGATTTTTTTTATAGATAGAAATGAGCTTATCCGTGATTTTAAATCGAGAATAATCAGACCGTTTCATCATACATCTGAAAACTACCTTTAGTTCACTAATAAGACTCGGGGTAAGTTTTCGTCATTCTAAGTTTTATTGAGACCTTCCAGTCTCTGTGTGAGATCTATAAATGTAAGATAATCGATCACATAAACATATCCTATACCGAGGCATTGCGTAACTGTAGAAAAAAAGAAAGAATTCACCGTAATTTTATCGAATACTTTTGATACAAGAAGATGAATTCTTCTGCCACAATCTTTACTACAACCGGTAAAAAAATGCTGATTCTATTTTTTTCAAAAACAAGAAAACGATTGAAATCGACAATTGCTGCATCCTTCATCTATGACAGTTCTAAGCGTTACTTGCCTGATGATGTGGTTGGGTGTGACTATTCTCTTCATTTACCCACAGCGACGCCCACATTATGTTGTATGGCAAATACGTCAATAGCCTTTTCAAAATCTATGTCAAATTCTCTTTCAATAGCCAATACACTAAGATCATTAAATCTTTCATCACCCATCGAATTTCGAGCATAATTTTTAATCAATTTCATCCTGGAAAACGACCTTTCACATACGGCGGACGACGCAGGAAATGTGACAGCACCTTTGATCAAAGTGATTTATAATTGGTATCGATAGAATTACTTGAAAGACTTGCTCATAAAAAATGAAGAGAAAAATGTCACTAAGTTCTTCTTAGCCGATTAAAAATAGGCAAACGACTATCCCAGGTCAATGATTCCGGAGGACGGATACAGTAGGAACCGGCCGGAAAGATGCGGAAAAATCACCGTATCTGGCCGGAAAGCATGGGAAAGCACTGGAAACTGGAAGCAGTATTCCAGTTGGAAGTTACCGGATTTTTTTCCTGTGGATTCCGGTCAGTTTCCTGTGTTTTCCGGTCAGTTTCCTGTGTTTTCCGGTCAGTTTTCTGTGTTTTACATCTGGAAGTTGATCGGAATCTACAGGAAGAAAATCCGGTAACTTCCAACTGGAATACTGCTTCCAGTTTCCAGCGCTTTCCTGTGCTTTCCGGCCGCTTCCCGCCGTACGTCCACGGCCTGGGTATGCTAACTTCTAGTATTTGCATTGAAATTATTTAGTAAAGAAAGTTTGACAGCCTAAATAACGACAAAATTTTCTAGAGGGAGCTCAGCTCCCCCTCTGGCTCCGCCACTAATTCTTTGGCTTTATTATTTATCTTGTTTATTGGCGACATTTATCGTTGATTGGTTATTTCCTTATTTGCTAGGTAATCACGGCTGACTGATCAATCGGTCAATTCATTATTAACTAACAATACATATCCGTCCATAACACATACGATAACAACATAAAGATTCATATATAAACGTTCAATACTTCTTTGTGATCAATCGCCGTTTAAAAATATGTTTTCTATTCGTATAAACTCGTTGTATACTGACTAAAAACTTCGTTGCCATTTTTAGATCCAGTTTTTGTGATGAAAAGAATAATCAGAAAAAACAATTGAAAATGATAAATGGGAAACCTTGATCTTGAATGACACTAAACCTCCAGTGACTGATCAGATTCGCAAACAGTTGAAACGTTTAAAGAAACCATCGAATAAAAAGGGCCCTTCGGTCAACTCTTCGGTGCCAATCACTATTTACGTTTTTTTTTGAAAGCGGTGGTAAGAATCTACGCAAAGGATACTTTAAAGCTTGCTATAATTATCTTCTATCCAGTGAAATTATTACTGTCTATCTTATATAGATATTCCGGTTAAATATCATTCTCTTATTCAACAGTAGATAATGACGAAAATCACGATTTCAATCTACTTTACGATCTGCCAGCTGCAGATCTTCGTAAGAATTTTAAAAATTTTCTTCGTTTCTCATATAGTATTTGAAGTAAATGTTTTTCTAAAAATGTTCGATTATATTTTTTATGCTTGATGTGATGTATACATTGCGTTCCTAGGGGAAACATGAAATTTGCTGAATAGGATTCTTCAAGTTATAATAATTTCATAAGTGATCAGAATTTCTTCGAAAATCTGTCTACACCAAAGCAGAAAAGTATTCATACTAATGCAGGATAAATGGTTTAGTCAATGAGAAAATAATCTAGGCAAAAAGTAATTGATTTGATTCAAATGGCTATATGCAGAGAAAGATTGCTAAGCACTAAATAAAAGTTAATCAAATGTTGATCTAAGAATTGTATCAACATAATACTATTATTTCCTAGAATAAATTAATTTTTACGTTAAAATTTGAAAAGGTAGTAAGCTTTTACCAGATATTCCAAAGGTTGCTGTTTTTTGGTCACAAAAATTCGAATCATAGTGTCAATTACGTTTTCGTTCGAACTTCTTTCTCATGAAAATAAATTTTCACTAGAAATTGTATCTTCTACTTTTAGTCGTTGTTCTAGCGGATTTTTGTTTTCTAATACACGTGATCTCCTATAATTTCTTGAGTAAGTAAGTCTTGTGATATTGACAAATCTTCAGGTCTGTGCCTATCAAGCATGTGAAAAACGTTCTTGTTGGCCGGTAAAGCATGTCGAAACAATAAGAAGTATGTAATTCTTTAATGAAAATGAATAAATCTCTATAAGTCGAACAATTTAATCGCTTCCGAGACGGGTTCTGAATAGATTCCGGTCACAGTAACATTATGGTCATAATATTTTTCTAGAAGTTAAGTACGATCGCCATGACTATAGTGACTCATAGCGATCACGTTGATGCGTAGTCTTGACATATAGTTGTTAGAAATGGTTGACATTAATGGACTGCATTTATTTTAATCTCGGTGCAGATGATTAGAATCAACTGAATCTTTTTATTTTGCTGTAACTTCTTCATCACCTAAATCTTCAATCGAAAATTTGGTATTAAAACAAATTGATCATATAAAAATGTAAGTTTAAAGAATAATTTAATAAACCTTCATATTGTACTCAGAAAATTCGTAAGAAAAAAGAACTACCTATTATTGTTACAGTATGATCCTGTCATTTGATAGATTAGAAAACAATTGTACGCATACTGGAGTAATACGATGCTACAGTTAATGTGCCAGTTGAAAGATGTTTACAAATACTTGGGTTGCTTTTTGAAAATAAAACAAGGTTAAAACTAGTTTCTGATTACCAACTTCAAAACAATCCAAGGGTTTTCGGTATTTGCAGAAAAAAAACACTGAATTAGAAATATACCGAGATCGAGAGTCTTTATCCTATTTTTATCCTTCAGTGTGAATGATATATAGGTTTAAGATAATAATTGTAACTGAAGACATGACTTGATGAGCGGCAACACATTGGACATTGATTAAGAAAATCTGGTGTCACTCGGATGTCTTCATTTAATGTCTAATATCTCGCTTAAATTTACCAGTTTTAATAGTCATGTGCTGTTGAATAGACACATTGACACACTTAAAAACTTTGCTGATTTACCTTGGAAAGTTTCTGTTGTTAAATTTAGAAAGTTTCTCATATTGATATGTTTACAGAATGAACTTACTGACTCAGGAGAATTGTATATAAACTTTCGAATTGCAAAATGAATTGTTCTGAAAAATGCACCTAAACTCAAACCAGAGTTTTCCGATATGCGTTAGTGTTAGCGTCAACAGATGTCACCTTATGACGCTAACTCTATGAACGTAATATCAAATCGCTCGTCACAATATCATGATGACCTTTTTGTGTCGTTCCTTTTTTCTTATTGCGGTTTTCTTTTTTTCTCTATATATGGTCAGTTGATTTTGTTTTTCTCTTCAGTATCTCTTCTTCTGTTTTAACTTTCAACATCTCGTTGTTTATCTTTTGTTTCGTCTCCCCTTTGCTATCCCTGATCTTCCTCTTTTGCTCCTCTCAATCTATCAACATATTATATCAATAGTTGATAGTTATTAATAAAACCCTTTTCTGAACCTATCTCGGACCAACACCATCTTCATCGCAACATCATCAGGTCACGGTAGGATATTTATTGCGAGTTTCTCCCTAGAGAACAGACTAGTATCCCCTCAAACATCAATTTAACCCTCGTAGGAAACGGAGGTTAAAGCCATTTGACACATCCCCAAACGAGAACCTCACAGTTAGGTGATTCGGTCTAACCTATCTGTCTCCGTGTCAAAATCAGCTTAAAAATCTTCTCTTAAGGAAAATCATGATATTTTCGATTAGGTATAGCAGTATTTCATTTAAATCAATATTCATAACAGTACTGAATATTAAAGTCTATCCAATATTATTCATAGCATAACAATTTTATTACCCTTGGCAACTAGATTTTTAACAATGAATTGACTATATATGTATATATATATATTTAGGATGACTATTGATGAACCAATAACGTTGGCACCTATTGCTCGTGACGTAATAAAGGTTTTGGCACCAATCACTAATAATAATCGAGCTACTACTGCTTCCTCATCTTGGCCAAATCACGATGACCTCTCGGATGTTATACTACCATTAGAAGATCATGAATTGTGGATTAATGCTTTAGGAACATCGTCAAATGATGATACTCACAATTTATCGGGAACCAATGAAAATGAACAAGTAGAAAATGATAAACAAACGTATGTTGATGCATACGCCATTAATGAATTACCCATTGAACTTGAAGAATTACATCGAGAAAATAAAATTATTTTGGATGACTACGATAAAAGAATTAAAAGCATTCAAAAACAATTCCAAAGAATTGCCCAGACTTTGAAGGTCCTCGTTAAAGAAAGAAGAAAAACGCAAACCGAATTGTCAAAGAACTTTCGTGAACGTTACCCAGGGCGAACAGTACGGTCCGTATACGGCCATTGACGGTTACTTTACGACTATTTTACGGGCGAAATTTTGCCGTAATATCTCGCGCAGTAATACGGACCGTATTATCATGAGAGTACGGAGCACAAACAGCCGTAAACCATGAAAATTCAGTCCCGTTTACGGTGCCGTATTACTGCGCCAGGTATTACGGGCAAATACGGCCTATTTACTGCCGTAAAGATACCGTTTTGACATCGTTTACCGTCGGCAAGCAGACCGTAAACGAGTCCGTTTTGATCAACCTGGGTATCGTTCATGGCAAGAAAAAAAGTAAGTGTGTTTAAAGCATATGAAAACTTTATCTTTGTCTTTTTCGCCTAGATTGAATACTAAGGTACACAAAAAGTGTACTAAGAGACTTGCCGCTACTCGTAAATAATGTTAGTAGTCTTTGTTTTGTTTTTGTTGGTCAAAGCTTTTTGTTTTTTTCTTTCGTTTGAACTGAAAATTAAAAAAAAATAATTTGTCTGAAACAATAAAAGAAATATTTTTCGATTGATTTTATTTATGAAACAGAATACCTTCAGACATTTAGGTCTTAATTTTGGAAATTATCTTCTAAGAGTCAGTCCACGTATAAATCGATATAAATGTATAAACGTTTTCTTTTCACCTATTTATTTTCTTGCTCTTTTTCTGACAACTATTGTAGAAATGAAATAGATTGAAGATACTTTTTTTCTCTCTAACAGACATTCAACGATTCATTTTTCTATTTCTTAATTTCAATCTTATTTTGAAAACAAAATAACATTCTAAAATAAAATAGGTCTATGAATGTTTAATGTATCTTCAAATTCAATAGTTTGACACTATTAGAAAAACATTTCGGTAATTCTAAATATGTTCATCACGATTTGTTCATAATCATAAGGTTTTCGAAATGATAAAAATGATTATATAACGAATAAGAATTTCAAAATATCTATAAACCATAGAATCATTTTTAAACTGATTCAGAATAATTTTAATAAGTCGAATTTGTCGAATAGATTTTATGAATAATAGTTGATAGGCGAAAAAATGTTCAAGTCAAAATTATTTTCTTCAACATCTACAAATATTTATATACAAAATAGCCAAAGGAAGCGCATAGAGTTTACAAAACAACGTGCTTCTTCATGTACTTGAAATTGACAGAATAATTTAAGAATATTGCATTTTTTCAAGATTATTTTTCATTGTAAACCATTACTTTTTTGCTTTGGAGATTAGTCTAAGATTGTAATATAAACTAATATGAAAAGTAATTGTAATAATAAGATATAAAGCGGAAAACATCTAGTTATATTATTGTATGTTGACGAGTTTAGTTATCTAATTTAATGAATGAGTCAAGAGTTTTAAAGATAATTCAGTGAAAATCAATATTCTTTTAAAGAAATTTTCTTAAGAAGAAAATAAATTAATTATATCTGTAAAGAAAAATCAATAGAATGTTTTATTTTCATATATATATTCATCATTGATGTTATGTAAGATTAACAATTCATCTGGCATATCAGTTTTTTTTATTTACTTTTTGCAAACAATCAATCATCGTCGGATTTATTAAAATATTTAAAATTCGGATTAGAATATCCATATGAAGATCTACTTAACCTATCGAATTAAAGAATTTGATTGGAAAACAGATTTATATCTATTTGAGAAATAATATTTTATTGAATATCTAAAAAAAGTAGCACAATTTTATAAGGGAAAAGTAAAATAGACATGATATCGATTTCCAAAAAAAGAAAAAGAAACGAAATCTGTTGATTCAAGATTAAGATGATTCGTTTTCACCTTCGAAAATTCGATTAATTATGTAATATATTATTAAATAAAATTAATTACTCGATCATGATCGAAAATATTTCTCTTGTTATAATTTAATATCAACAATTAATAGTAGTTTAAAAAAGAAAATATTTTTTCAAACTTCGATTTCTTATCAACTATCGAGTATCGTTTCAAAGTCTGCACAACTCCGGTAATCACCGGTCAACAAAACCGAGATTTTGGGTGTTCTTTTTAAATGTCTTAATAGTCTAAGTACCGTTCCATCGAGAAATCGCTTCAAATCGTGATTTCGTATATCGTTGTGTCGCGGTTTTTCGGGTACACTAGAGGCAACCGACTCAGGTGTGTCGACCTTAGTCTGTATCTTGATGGTTTCAGGTATGACGTCCTTCTAGGAGCAGTGAAGTGAACTCTCGAGCTCAAGTTCCACAAAGTGCCTTTGTAGAGTTAGATATATAAGGTATGAGACAACTCGAAATTCGCCAGAATTTGTGAAGCACGACTAGAGATGTGAGAATCACTTTTTTTGGTCCCGGTTTCCGCCATCGGGAGTTCCGATGACCGGGACCGAGACTGATTTTGGACATTTCTATCAATAACAAATACTTTAATATTCGTACTAGAGTTACATCGTTAAGCAACATGTATTCATAAATTGAATATATAGATGTCATGATAGACCTTACGTTCGTGCATGGAAGAGCTTTTTTGGTAGGATCCTATTCAACAGATATTCTCTTTCCATAAATCATATTCACATTTGTCGATGATTAATACATTAACACGATTCGAGTAATAAAATAGAAATATGTTTACTCTTAAGAATTTTTCAATATAAACTATACAATATTAGATAAGACATAGCTAAGTCAAGTTTAACTTGAATACAAATTAATTCAATATTACTCTACTTTTATTGTCACACCATATAAACAAGAATAAAACTTTCCGAGTTATGTGTTGTAAGTATTCAGTGAAAATACTCGAAACAATCTACTATAGACCTAACTGACAAAATAACATGTAAATAAACAAGTCGAAATTCTCTGATTTTAACTATTTATTTACTAATAGTGATACATCACTATGACTCTTTAGATAAATTACCGGATCTATTCTAAAGCAGTGATTTATCTACCGTATGGGCAGGGTGGGCGCCGCCCACCCGAAAATAAACGGTTGATTTCATCAAAGTAACGGGTGGCTCATAAAGAATGATGGTTTCATTATTTACTCAATATCGTTTTTGCTCTTCATTGATTTGAACTGAAAATTTTCCCAGAAAATTGAGCATTCAATTTTCTACAAGCTCATGTGTAAAAGATTTTTTAAAACTACAAAACGGCCAAGTACTAAAACGAAGAAAAAAGGTTAAAAAATCGGTAAACTCAACTTTGGTCGACAGTAAAAATGTCGACAGTAAAAATGTCGACAGCTGAAAATGTCGAAAGTAAAAATGTCGACAGTTAAAAATATCGAAAGTGCAAAATGTCGAAAGAAATTTATAAAAATAAAATTAAAAAATCTAAAAGAAGGAGTGTTTTAAAAGATATTCGATGAATATGTTATTATTGTAGGCAGTGGCGGATCTACCAGTTAGGCTACCTGGCTATCGCCACCCCCTTAAGAAACTTTTTCGATTTTCTCCAGTAGATATGAAACAGAAAATAGTCGTTCTGTCTCAACTAGACTTGAAAAACCGTTTTTTGGGCAGGAGCGCTACCCCCTAACAGATTTTCTGGATCCGTCACTACTTGTAGGATGGATGGCGACTTATGTTCGTTTAGATCTATCATTGGTCTATCAGACATTGGTCACTTAGTACAATGTAATAGAAAAGAATAAGACAATTATTCTTCAATTATTCATTATTCGAGTGATAAATATACATATGGAAGCCGCCACGGAATCGGCACGCAACATCAACAGTGATTTAAATTTCATTACTTCGAATAAGGGACAACCTCTTTTAATAATGAATCAATTCTGAACACGACATTTTCCATGAATACCTACTCAGTTTTCGATATTTTTACTTTTTCGTTTTTTCGACATTTTACTGTCGACATTTTTACGGTCGATATTTTTACTGTCGACATTTTTACTTTCGATATTTTTACTCTTTCGTTTTTTCGACATTTTACTGTCGACATTTTTACGGTCGACATTTTTACTGTCGACCAAAGTTCAGAGATTCAAAAAATCTTCAACTTTCAGGCTCAACAAACATTAACATTTGGAGTATGTTTCGATAATTTATACGCAGACTTAACTTAAGGGAGAAACATTTTCTGGTATTTTCAAGTACGCTCTTATCGATATCTTTGAAAAACATTTCTTTAAAAGTGGTCTTCGCCTATTAAATCGATATTTTCTAAAAGCTCGTCCATAACGCCTTAATTTCGGTTTACCAGAAAGTCTACTGCAAGCGAAACTTTGCATCCCTGGAACAAGTGTACAGGGGCGTAGTCGAGTATGTTGGCTTTCAAAGAAAACAAAATCGTCAAAAAATAACACTTTTTAAGTGAATGACATGCGTTCTAGTGCAAACATCAAAAGCATGACATGACAGTTGTGTTTTTTAGAAAAAGCGAAAAAATTGATCCAGAATATTTTACTCGTTTTGTAGTGAAAAAAAAATTCGAAGAAATGAATCTTGCCCAAAATCTGATGCTCTTTAACATGGTAGACTGAGTCTTTTGTAGATCCACACATGGAACGCAGATTTTCAAAAAAAACAGATTTAGTGCTTGAAAGTTGGAGATTTTTCGACCTTTTTTCTTCGTTTTAGTACTTAACCATTTTGTAGTTTAAAGAATCTTTTACACGTGAGTTTGTAGAGAATTGAATGCTCAATCTTTTGGGGAAATGTTCAGCTCGAATCAATGAAGAGCAAAAACGATATTGAGTTAATAATGAGACCACCATTCTTTAAGGGCCACCCGTTACTATATGATAACAAATCTTCTAGTCAGCAGCTCCTCCAAAAATTTCAACCGCCCACCCGAAAAATAAAACCTAGATAAAACATTCCCCAGACCAGACAGAATGATCCGTAAGCGACCTTAAGTGTTATAAATACGGAGAAATACAGTGTTTCCAACGAATGATCGTTTACGAATAATCGTATAAGATCTTGAGACGGCGAAATACGATAACGTGACGTATTTTAATCATACTTTTAGATATCTGTCAAACGACCAGAAGCCACACTTTTTAAATGCAACGACATTGCTCCTTTATTTTTTTGCAGAGAACAAACCAAAATGTTCTACGATTTTTTACTGAACCAATTTCAATGAGTAATATAATACAATTCCTTGATTGTGACGCTCATATGGAAAATATCTTGCAAAACTAAAATTTGCTTGGAATAAGATTCTTGTTCGGTTCGCAGGGCAATTTTAATGGTTTTACTTAATTTTCAGCAATTTTTTATTTTCCTTTTTTTCTATGGGTCCGTTTGAGACAAAGATAATCAGATGATTCAGAAGCGTTTAAATTTGAGTAATATATCCATTTGAATCTTTTCTAAGCGCTTGGATCTTTACGTTTTCGTGAGTGAGTAAGTGACTTAATCAGCATTTTGACGTTATCGGTTTCTCTTTTCTGCTAGAAAAACATGCTAACAAGTTCTTTTATACTTTTTCAAAATTAATCAAATAAATTTTTTATTTTTTAGATTCATCAATCTTAAAATTTGCCCCCTGTATATTCTGTCTCGATTGTTAATATAAATTATGCGATCATGGAAAATAGGTGAATGTATAGATTTTAAAAAGTTTAACTTTTTTAATGCATCCTATTGGTTTCTTTTCGTTGTGATGGACCTGGGTCGTTTGCTTTTTCAACCAGGCTTTCTTGAAAAAATTCATTACATCTCCCATTCCGAGATACAACCCCGCCAACAGTTGATCCTTCGCGTGACCTCTGCCAATGCGGATCATGGAGGCAAAACAATTTAAGTTCAGAGTAGATCTTACAGTGGTAGTGAGTGAGGGTCTACAGTGAGCATTTCTTTTTTCATTCAGCACACAAAACATGTTCATGCAGACTCACACGTACATCCTCTTCGTCGTCGCTTTCATTATGAAAAAACAATACCAAGCGTCATTTTCTGTAAACAGAAAAGAACACCTATGACCTGCGTATTACCTAATTTTTTCATTTTTCTCACTCAAAATGCAAAAAACCATTCAAAAGAAAAATATGAAGTATTTTCATTTTCTTCTCTCTCTATATTCCGGATGCTGTGTCATTTTCTCTAATTTACCTATTCAAATTAAGTTATTTTTATCATATCCAATATAATATCGTCTTATTTTCTCTATCTTCATTATTTTAGTAACCAAACCAGGATTCATTCCACTACGTAGCTGTTCAATCGACATCCATCCAAATGCTCGATGGAAACAGAATGGCCTCACTGAGCTGGAGGAAATAAACAAGGCAATGGAATCAATCAACTCTCATACCCATGGGGTTTGTATGTTGATAATGATCAAACTGTCTATATCGCTGATTCAGGCAATCCCCATATTGTAAAATGGAAATTGGGTGCGACGAGTGGCCAAGTGGTTGCCGGTGGAAATGAAGAAGGAAGTGGGGTTCATCAAATGTCTGACCCAAGAGATGTGATTGTCGACAAAGAGAGAGATAGTGTCATCATCTGCGATAATTCAAATAGAAGAGTGGTTCAATGGCCTCGTCAAAACGGGACAAGTGGAGAAACGATCATCTCCAACATCGATTGCTTGGGTTTAACAATGGACGAGAATGGATCTCTCTATGTCGTTGATTTTGAAAAGGCTGAAGTGAGACGATATCAACGAGGAGAATATCAAGGAACAGTGGTTGCAGGTGGTAATGGAGAAGGAAATCGTCTCGATCAACTGTTTCGTCCAACATACGTATTCGTCGATCGAGACCATTCAATGTACGTATCGGATTATGGAAATCATCGTGTGATGAAATGGAGGGAAGGCGCAGAAGTTGGTATTATCGCGGCTGGTGGTCAAGGAGAAGGAAATGGTCTTACACAAGTGTGGAATCCTCGAGGAGTCATTGTCGATCAATTGGGCACTGTCTATGTGGCTGATTGTGGGAATGCTCGAATCATGCGTTGGCTCAAAGGAGCCACACAAGGAAGTGTCATGGTAGGGTGCAAACGGTGAAGGAGGACAATCGAACCAACTCAATGTGCCCATCGGTTTATCATTCGATCAACACGGTAATCTCTATGTCGTCGATACCCAAAATCATCGATTACAAAAATTCAATATTGAATTCAATGGATGAATCAATAGAAAACGCGATACCGAACTCTATAAAAAAAACATTTATGTGTATTTAGTGTGTTTTTTTTAATGTATTCAGGATACGTGCTTTTGTTGCTAGTTGAGTTTAGCTTTCTATCTATGGAAAGTACATCAGTCGGAGTCATTGAAGTTAATGTATGTTGAATAGAAATCTTTTAGGATATGAAAATACTGAATAAGAGTAACATAGTTTCTAGTATAGTTGGGATTCAAATTCGTTTATAACTTCGGAGAGAGAACCTAAGTGACAACCATTCTTTCTCGAAACATGTCAATTCTATCGATGATTGAAACTCTCTTATCATACTTTAGAAAAACTATTCGATAAATTCTCATATTGTTTTCGTCAAAGAAATTCGCAAGTAATATGCAAAAATAAATATCTTTTGCATTGATTATTTTTTTGTTAAATGAAAAATGACTCAATTAATATTTAGACACTATTAATCATACTCTTCAGAGAATTATTCAAATTCGAATCATAAAATTAGATAATATATGAGGATCGTTCTTATCAATTATATTTATCGCTTGAATTGATTGATTGACGTAAGTAGTTGGTAGCCAAGTAGATACCATTTAGTTGAATGTAAAAAGTCTTCTCATATGTACTATTGATCTGCTGAAAATCTTACGAATATGACTTTTACGCTTAGCATTTTATGTGGGATATAAAACGTCAGTTCAATAGTTAATTAGCATTTTATAATCCAAAAAATGTTTGATTTAATATATAAAGCAACAATCATCTATAAAGAATTGTCTCCAATGTTTTTTTTTACAAAGATGAAAATAAAATTCTTCCTATAAATTTGATTACTAAAATATACAAGTTCTCTTTAATTTTATTACATATTTTGCCTCAAAATTGTGTATAACTGCTCTCATAATACAAAACTACTCTAGATTCTCACAGATTTCACGTTCACATGGGGACAGTAGGAAAATAAAGTTTGACCAAGAACGAACAAATTGTATTTTTAACTACTTCATAATCAATGTCATGGAGACAATGAATCATTGAACTCTCTCTTGTATGTTGCCATTATTATATTATTCTTGTCTATTACTTTAGAATACTCAACAAAAATTTTTGAGTGTAAGTGTGAATATATGAATTATATTCTTTCCTTAAACATCAACATTCATGCATTCTCATTATAGAGGAAATACAAGAGCTAAAGAGAATAAAAGTGCTAAAAGTAGTAATGCACATTCATCATTTGAATTTCTTATAGACTTATTTCGAATGAATTACACGATTTACTGCCGTGTGCTTTACTGCCGTTGTAAACAATTTTTTACATATGCATTTTTTTATTTTTAGGTATTTTTAGGAATTTTTAGGAGAGTTTTTCTGTGATATGTTATATGATTATCTTAGATAATTCTAATGATCACGATAGAAAAGCAATTTAGATTTTCTATGTCATAAGTTTTGTTTTTATCTCAAGGAATCGTAAAAATATTTTGAAATCTAACCATAGTTTGTAATCGATTTAATGTATTGAAAGGAAATTATTCATTTTCTATCTCAAAGGTTTATTTCTCATATCAAATGTTCGTTAATATATGTTTATGGTTCACTGAAAAAAAAAAGGTTCCATGCGGAACTTAAAAGGTTTCGTGGTGCTTTACTATACTTCAAAAGTTTTCGATCGGAAACACAAAACCTTGTAGTAGTTCAGTTCCATCAGAGGTTGCGCAAAAAACCTTTTCAAGGTTTCGGATTCAACAAGGTGTCGTAATAAACCTTTTTAAGGTTTGGAATTCAACAAAGTTTTGTAAAATACTCCTATATCCTTTTTGGCTAACATAAGTTGTAGTGTGGCGCTTTGTGTCATTACTTCTTTTATTGTCGAGTGAAGTTAAAACCAATCACTTATTTTTCCGCTGCTCATCTAATTCTACATCAAGTTCACTGTTTCCAATATTAAGTATCTTAAACAAAAGCAAATAGTCGAAGTACTTATAATTTTTTAACGGCACTATATTTCGAATATAAATGGAACAAGCAAAGAACCACGTTGCTTCCCTACAAAGTTGGTAGAACGCTTTACGTATATATTGTGGCATTACTACAAACGTTGTTCATCTTATTCTTATTCTCCACTTTTTTACATTATTTCTTTTTATCTTTTTATCGTATACTAAGTCTTCGCAGCACAAAAGAAAACTTAAAAAATGTAGACATTATGTATATATATATATCCAAGAATCCTTTTATTTAATAATAATATTAAATCAAATATATATGCCAAACTGTCCACGTTTCATCGAATGTAATATAATCGTGTTAGAATTTGTACCTTACATAAAAGTTCAAATATGTAGAAGTTGTTAATGCTGAAACGATTGCATTGTATTTTATGTGACTAACATAATCTTTTGCATAAATCTAAGATGAACCCTTTAATGGTTTTTTCTTCTTATATAAATGTATACAAATCAATATAAACGTTTCCAGCTTGAACCTTTCTTTTATAACTGAGACACTTCTAGTAGCAAATGCTTCAAAAATTATTTCGCACATTTTCCGCTGTTTCTTAGATACTCTTTTACTTATATATTTATTCGTGACCGTTTTCTTTACGATTTTTACATTGCATTTGCCTTGAAAAACAATAAACCTATAGAATAAGTTATGTCATCCCTACATCGCCCAGAAAATGAGCGTTATCTCATGAAACAATTATCAGCTATACGACCGTAGAGATAGAATTCGAAACAAAATACAGAGAAAAGTAATTTGAAGTGAATCATCTGACTTGC